AGATGTAGCTCACTTGGAACGAGCTAGGAAGGATGACCCAGGACAGAAATAAATGGAAGGAGCTTGTTTGTGGCCTATACCCTGCCAGGGGTGAAAGGCATTGATGATAGCTATATCGCTCCTATCTGGCTGTTTCACTTTCTTTTCCAGACGGGTATGGAATCGATGTGCTTTTATGTAACTTAAACAAACAAGACGTCTTGAATACAAATACATAGCACCAAAGATGAAGAACTATACACGGTGGTGGTGACATGGAGTGGTATGGATTTAACACACGTTTTAACAATGTTAGGCTACCTTAAAAGTTGGTTCTCTGAAATTAGTCCTCACAAGGACAAAGCTTAAGCGGTGGGGCGCCCTCTGCAAGCTCCTAAAAAAGCCCAGGCTCAAGAGCTGATCACTGGGCATCCGATCTAAGGCCAACAGTAATATAGCCTAGCACGATATATCAATCTAGTCAACAGGCACCTGTACTGTGGTGAGAGCAAAAATATATTATAAGGAAGGAGACGCAAAGAAAACAGAACAATTCACCACATGAAACATCGCAAAATCGGATTCGATTGTGTATTCCTGGTTTTGACCACATTTAATCGCTCACCTGGAGCCCCCACGAGAGCGCGCGTTACGTATATATTTTTTAATCCACCTGTGCCTGTGGTGTAATGGTAAGGTTTTCTTCTTTGCACGTAGAGGATACGAGATCGACTCCCGTCTAAGGATGTTATTTTGTGCAATGCCTCTGAAAGTCTGCTGGGATGGTGTGTCCTACATAGCCCGGGTTAGCCCTGACATGCAGGGTCGAAGAAGCCTGCCTGCTAAATGGTTTAAGTTGTGTCCTTAATGTAGAGTTGTCAAACACTAGCAACTATCAATATTAGTTTTTAATCGCTCGCGAGCTGGCGGTAAACAAACGTTCCATTAGTATAACAGCACGGGAGCGCTGGAAATAACTGTGGACAATTCGTTTTTTATTCAACTGAGGTCGATGAGAATCCTCGCATACTTCAAACTTTTCGTTCTTTCACCGTACAGTAAATTGCGTTGTTTTGTTTTGTTTTTGTCTGTTTGTTGTTTTGTAAGTTTGTTTGTTTTGTTGTTTTTTTCTGTTTTTTGTTTTTTGTTTTTTTAGGTTTGGGGGGGGGGGGGGTGTTTGTTTTGTCCTGTTGCTGTTGTTGTTGTTGTTGTTGTTGTTGCTGCTGCTGGTGCTGCTGCTGCTGCTGCTGTTGACGGTGGTTGTGGGGGTAGTGTCATCGTCCCCCTCAATGGTCATTGTTACTGTTGTTGTTGTTGTTATTGTTGTTGTTGTTGTTTTTGATGATGATGATGATGATGATGATGATGATGATGATGATGATGATGATGTTATTGATGATGATGATGATGATGATGATGATGATGATGATGATGATAATGTAGTCTCGCTGTTTATGGCTTGTGCCAGTATGGGCTTGTTGTTGGGACGATGGGGAGGAAGGAGGAAGGAAGAATCTGCTCTACGTGT